GTAAATTCTAATACAGGTACTTCTGATATGTATACGCACACATACATATATTTATATATATAATTATTTTAGGCTTTTTAAAATGATTACCAAGGTTTATAGCTAGAACGATGATATTAAATAAAATTATGAATGGAAAGAGAAGACATTTAATAGAAAATATAACATAGATTAAATAACTAAATGCCAAAACATTATTTAATCAAATTACGCAGGTTTCAAATAGTGCATTATTACTTCTAGAACAATACAAAACATATATGACTTTAAGAAACTCTAAAACTAATAATGAATTTATTTCAAGGGACTCGAGTACTTTAAATTTAGAAAGGGAACCCCCTTAATTATAAAGAACATATTTGTCTGAAAGCACAGCCATTCCATAAACCTCGTCTGTATTGAAGTATAGAGGAATATAGCAAAAAAGAAAATATTTTACAGCAATAAATTTCTATTTCACTGCCATATATCATAAGATAAACAAAATATGACTTATAATGCCAGGAGGCCAATAATTTTAGTTCCGCACACGTGCACCTCCGGTGCTAGCTAAGTAAAATAATATATTTCTAATGTTATATTGCCCCTTAAGTAGGAACAAACATTCATAAAGTTATATTATGGTCGATTTAAATAAAATGATGAATTTATTTAATAGTTATTTAGGGAAAAAAATAAGATTTTTTTTTACAATTAAATGCTATACCAATGCATTGCTGCATGAAATCTAAGTTTCAAAACTATTTTGATTATGAAAACGGCGCAAAATAAATTATTGAAAAGGATCTAACATTACTTTTAAAAAAATTTTATTCCTGGAGGTAAAATTTCAAAATCACGTTAAAGAAACACCATAAAAAGTTATTAAATGTATGTCTGAATCTTAATATAAAACAATGAATTAAAATACGCGTATATTATGAAATAGATATAAAATTGAATACTATGATTAAGTATACAATTTTCCTTTCATCTATTGCAGAAAGCTTAAACATCCACGAATGTTTCTCAGATCTCGTTTTAAGGATTACACATAAACCGCACAAAAAACTTTTTTCGGTTTACATTAAAAGGTTTTTGCTGACAAATACCTTTTGTGTGAGTGAAAATAAACCTTATTTTGCAATCTGGTAGGCGAAAATGCACGTTATAAGGAGATGTTGATGTATAATGAGTCCACAATAATTTCAGTAGTCTAACCTTACTTTAAAATTAGAATTAAATAACTAAAAGAATAATTGTTAACATAATGCCATTTTTTAATTCGTAGAATTATCCTGTAACTTAATATTTCATAGGGTAAAATGCATTTAAAATAATAGGCAACCATTTTCCCTCACCTGTCAAGATAATTGCAAACACCTTACTTGAAATAAATCTATCTTAGGGGACTAACGTTACGCAAAAAATGGATAGTAAAATTTTCAAACCAGATAAGTATGATACCTTTATTGTAATCTTTTTTTTTATTTCCAATGCAGCAGGCGATACGGACATTATCCTAACGCCGTACAGAGATCAAAATAAAACAAAAATACAAATACAGAAGGACATGAAATATACAAAAGCAAAACATCAAACACAAAAATTAATTCAAGAACTTAAATTGAACAAAAGTTCTCTGGCCTCCCAGTATCGGGAGTAGATGCAGTTCTTTGTGAGAACTGAACAGTTGAGAAGATGTCCAGCATTCATCGTCGCACCACTGCGGCAGAGGGGGCAGGCAGGATTATCCACTATTTTAAGACGGAAAAGATGGTCATATAAGCAATCGTGCTTGGTAGCAAGACGAAAGCCTTTATTGTAATCTTAAGAAAGAAAATTACAAGGGTTGTGAATGTATCCTTTTAAACAAGTCCTCATTCTTCAACGCAAACAGGTCTTATTTTCAAGACGGTTGATTGGTTATTTTTATAAATATTGAAATTCAATCATTCATAAGAAAAGACATTAAGTTTACTTTTTATATTTTTTTGGATGAAAATAAAAAAAAAGATATTTGAATTAAAATTCAGAAAAATTTACTTAACTTTTTTCTAAACATTTTTATCAACAAAGGCAATTGTGAGCAGTAATTGTTTGTTTTCCTGGTTCCATACGAACCATTCTTTAATTACCTTTTAATGAAAAAAGAGAATCTCTTTTCATAAATTACAATGGGGTTGTAAAATTATGTTAAATATTCCATTTTGCATAAAGGCTTTAAACTCATATAGTAATCTAATTTTTACATGGTCAAGGTAAAAAATGGTGTTAAAGCTTCTAAAAACATGAAAAATCTATAACAATAATGAAAGTATAATTATTTCTAAAGTAACAACTGACAGAGGTTTTATAACAAAAAGTCATATTCCAGATACGGAAAACTTCTAACCTCTTTTTGTATGGATAATACAATAATAATAATTAGAATACTGTGAATATTATTTTGTATTATACTTCCTAAAAACCAATAATGATTAGTATTTATGAACAATTTAAAATTTTTGAATTTTACCCAGCCTTTTCCGATACTGTGTTAATGAATTATTTTATATTCTTCTTAACGATTAAAAACCATTAATGATTAATATTTATGAGCGATTTAAATTTTTGAGTTTTAGCCAGCTTTTTCCGTGTTCCGACCACTGCTTGGCAGTTTATTTGGCGTTTTGATTATCAATTTGAAGTGATCTATGTCATCGGTTCCCAAATTTTTTTTTCGACTGTGGAACCCTAAATGATCTAGCTTCTTTTGGCGGAACCCCGATACTTAATGAATAAATTTTGAAAAATTGCGAATATATTAATTTACGAAAGACTATTAATTTTTTTGAAAATTTGTAATGATCTAAATTTTATTAATAATTATTGAAAATATTTAGTGAATGAGTGAAGAAGGAAATTTTTCATTATATCGCTTTATTCATATTAGTCTTAAAATTTGTTAAGTCATACAATTAAATTCCCCAGGTCTAGAGAGGCACCTAGTCGAATTCATAATTTGATTTTAATGCATGCACAAACTGAGAATGAATGAGCTGAAGTACGGTTTATATTAAAATAAAAACGAAAAAAAAAAATAATAACGAAGATAATGGTTATTAGAGAAACCTTGTTCTTATTTGTTGAATTTGGGTATTTTTATAGATTTGGGTGTTTTATAGATATTATAATACTACAGTTAAACCCCACTATAGTGAACACGGTTTATAGTGAACTCCCGGATATAGTGAACAAAATGTTCGGTCCCGTGCCTTGCTATACACGCATAATGTTATTTTTTGTGGATATCGTGAACCAAAAAAGTGAGGAAGTTGGATATAATGAAATTTTTTCTGTCTTCGACTGATATTTTTCTTAATTTTTTTGGTAATAATTTTGAAATTTCTACTTCAAAATAAATACATATACCGATTTTTAAAATCATCTATAGAGGGGAATGTAATGATAAGCATTTTTTCTTGTTTGCTTCTTTTATTTCACTTTCTCATCCCTAAACAAACCAAGCAGATGTTTCCAACCCAGGCAGATGATGCACCTGTAAGGTGTCAGTGGTGAACATTTTCTGTCAGATGGAATGAGTAATTATTCATTATTGGTCAAAGGGTTGGACACTAATATATGTTGATAAGGCCCTCATTTCAACTCCTTTTTGCTCTCAGTTCAGTTACAAAAAACCTGCAAACAAGTGTCTCAAATTTAACTATGGCGAGTAGTAAACGTAAAACATTCTCCACTGATGATAAAATGGGCATAATCCGAAAAATTGAAAATGGATGCAATCAAGCTGATATTTGCAGGGAATATAAACTATCCAAATCTGCAGTTTGTGACATGAAAAAAATTTAGATGGCAGAAAAAGTTGAGAAAAGCAGATCAGAAGAATGTTGAAGAAGCATTACTGAAGTGGTTCACCAATCGAAGAAGCAGCAATCTTCCAGTATCTGGACAAATGTGGATGAATTTGCTAAGCGATTTTATGAGATTACTTTTATGTGCTCGAATGGCTGGCTGGACAGGTTTAAAAAGCGGAATAATAGAAATTCAGGAAAAATTATCTGAGAGTCGGAAAGTGTTTCCATATCTGATGTTGAGGATTGCTCATCAGCTAAAGATTACTAATTTTTTTTTTGTTCGCAAGATAAAGAGTAATGAAAAAGAACGTATTTTTTGCTACTACATAATATTTTTAGTCATTAATTTGAATAATGTGTAATAAAAGGGAGGAGTTTGAGAATTATTTGTTAAATTGCCTGAGTAACGGATATAGTGAACTCCAGGTTATAGTGAACCAAAGTTTCGGTCCCTTGAAGGTTCACTATAGCGGGGTTTGACAGTATAATGGAAATTTTCATACATGAATCTTCTTTTCATAATTCATTTATTATATTGTTGTTAGAAAAAAATATTCTTTAAAAATTTCTTTCTTCACAAGCATTTCATAAAAATATTAAATAAGAAACGGATTATTAATTGAATATGAATTTAATTACCGGTTTCGAAAAATATCACTAGTTGGAGAAAAACAATTCTCTCGAAACCCCTGTAACCCTTTCGCGGTTTCTCGGAACAATATTTGGGAACCACTGATCTACATTTCACTCACCCTAAATCTATTATTATGGCAAACTAAAATATGAATCTAGGTTTGGCTTCCTTGATTTAAAGGAAATTCAAGATAATTCTCATTTAATGTGCGCTAACATCGAAAAAAAAAGTTAGGCGTTTATTAATAGAGGTTGAATTAACACTAGATTTTACACATTGGTCGTTGTAATGGAAGGGTGACTGTAATGAGGGTCATGCTAATAATTTGTTGCTTTAGCATGTAAAGCAAGAGCACCATCAAGGAAAATATTAAAATAACATGAAATATTAAAATAACGTAAAATTGCTCGAAAGTGATAGTAAATAACTTAAATACATGCCAATATTTCTTATTTCTATATAGTGTAGAATTTAACTATTTGGTATTTTAGTGGCATTTACTAAATGCAGTTATTCTAATTTTGTTTTAGTTTGAAAACTCCTTGATCTTGGTGGTGTTATTGTCAAGCCGGAAGTTCTAGTTCTCTACACTATTTATTGTGGTAGTGAGAAAACAATTAAGGTGAGAATTGTTTTTTTTTTCCAATTTCGTTATCAAGCTTTTACAATATTTACTATTCATTATGATACAAAACTTCCCTAGAGCCAAAATAACTTGTGCTCTCATTGAACCAATATTCACGAATCTTAGCTCTATTACGCTAACAACTTTTTTATTCTGGCCCCAGTTGGGCTCAAAATTGGCACAATATTGGTCGTATATGAACATGCACCGAGGAACCAATTTTGGGATGTTTTAATATTGATTTTTTAATATTGGTCTTATTTAGGTCCATTATCTGCATATATATTGCCAAAATATAGCTTATATTGAGCCCTATAAATATAAAATATCGGGTGAATTGGACAATTCTATATAGGGCCAATATAAGTAAATAACGGTCCGCGGAATCCTTATTGAGCCAATATTCATGAATATTGGTCCTATGAGGGACCAAGTTATTTTGCTGCTAGGGTAGAGTTTAAAGGTCGTTATTTTCCAATATTGGCCATGGCTTTATATAGAATTGTCCAGGGTGCGTAGTGTTTTTAAAAAGTGCTTAATTTTGATTTATGCTTTTTAAAAGCCCTTAAAGGTGCTTTTATTATTCAGGGTTTGTGTAAAAAGTGCTTAATTTTCCATCTTTTAAAAATAGATTTTTTTTTTTGCCGTATCGATCGTCGTTCTGAATTACAAAAAATAAATGATTTTCGTAATTTTCTCGGCAATATTTATCAGAAACTAGTTATTTTATCTTGATTATGTAAAGTTTCTAAAAATGTTTTATTGATTTTATGTTTATAAATAAAGAACTTGAAGCGATAGAAAGAAATAGTTTTTATTGCTGCGCAGGTCCTAATTATGATTTTTTTGGGGGGAAAGTGATTAAAAATATTTCTTGAGTGCTTAAAAAGTACTTAAAAGGTGCTTATTTTTTGTTGAAAAATCTAGCTACGCACCCTGTTGTTCGATTCACCCGAAATTTTACAGCCACTTTACAACCAATATCGGCCCTATCTAGAGTTGTTAGATTCACCCGATATTTTGTATTCATTATTCAGCCAATATAGGCTCCATACTGGAGCAATATAAAAAAATCTAGACATTCCAATATTGGTCCCTCATGTCCATATGGGATCCATTTTGAGCCGAACTGGAGCAAATGTAAAATCGTTGCTAGGGTTGAGCAGATTTTATTAGACGAAGGCAGGTATGTGGCTACTTTTATTTTGATGCTTAAGAAAATATTTTTTCCCCTTCATTAATATAAATACCCTTTAGAGGTGCCTTAACCAATTCCTCTCGAAATGTAGCTTTAAAGTGAAGTGCTGAATGATAATGAAACTAAAAAAATTATATGAAGTATTATAGCATCAGGAATTTTTGATTGCATTACATATTTAACATGAAATAAAATTTCCAATATTAAGTATTTAATGCGGTATGAATACTTTATTACATGTTTAAAAATTTCATTACCTTCAAAAATATATAAATAGCAAATAATAGACGACATGTTTCAAGCGCTTCAAAAATAGGCGCCCATTTTCAAGACTTTCTGGCAAGTTATTCCAGTTATTTTAGCTTGATTATTGAAGAAACTGATGAAATACTTGGATTTTCACTGTTATAACTATTTTTTTTAATAGTTTTAAGGTCACTTTTAATCTGAATATGGTTGCGTCAAACATAAATAAGTGTTACTCGACACTGCATAATCGGTTAAATTGGTTGGGTCCAGGTACCGGATATTGAAATTAAAAACTGGGTACCGGATCCCAAGCAGTAAGATTATTTCACTGTGGGGTGTAAAGCGAGAATAGTTTTAAAATTAGTATGTATTTAATTAAAAAAACCTATGTATATATTGTTTTTTAAATAAAAATGCTCTTAAATAAATATATCTTGATTATATTTAAAAATATGTTGTTGTTGTTACATATGGCTTTATTGAAAATATTTATCCATATACTAGTATGTTCGGCTTTAAGTGGACATAAACAAGGAGTAAAAAGGAACAAAATTACATTAACAAACAAAGAAAACACATGACAACGCATATTAACACAAAAAGAACACAAAGATAAAATTAAAGTTAAAAAAAATATATACAGGGAAGAATGAGGAGTAGTCTTTACAGAGAGTTCATACGATCTCTGGCTTCCCAGTAAAGTTTACTGAGATCACCCCGCTTTTGAGATTCTTCGTCTAGTAAAGGGCAAGTGGTCTGAGTTCATGGTTCCCGAATTTCAGATTTGGCACTGGAAGGATACCTATTCTGTTGAAATGCTCTGCCAAGCAGTCATGGCCTGTTGCGAGTCGGAAGTTTGCCACAGCTTTCTAAATGCTAAAAAATAATTTTTTTCATATTATTAAATTAAATGTTTATGGATATCAAAATTAGGTTTTACTTCAGTTCAGATGTAGTAAATTTTCAAAACTCTTCACAATATCGTCAAAAAAGCGAGAAAAGTGTAATGGGTTTAGGTTCACGATTATTATAGAATCTCGGCGTCTGCCGCTACATATCTACACAACATCCGATATCGTAACAACATCATATCTACACCACACTTACATTTTAATCAGAATAGGTTTCTACGGAAGTATTAAACACACACACAAAAAATGTATTGATAAGAAGTGAGTATTAAACATTTTGGCATGTTTGGCCTTCAACAAGCATTTCAAATATTTTAAATTTTTTATCCTTTTTTCGTATCATCCCTCCGCTCAAAATTTGAAGAGCATTCTACGGCATTGCTATTTAAATATTTACACTCCCCGACCGACATGCATGACTTACAGGAAAATTAAAAATGCTTGACTGATAGGAAATTTTAGATGCCCTGACCATGTCGGCAATATAATCTGTCATCTGAATTATCAATAATTAAATTGTTTTTCATGAGCTTATTATTCGTTTATTTTTAGTGGCAAAAGTAAGTGAGCAGTGCTACTAAGAAAATGGAGAGAAAACTTTTACCTAATGGAACATACTGGGCTGTCAATTGTCCCCCAAAAAATAGTCTGTTTTGGTCTATATTGATTCCTTTCTTGTTGATCTCAGCTGAGAAAGGAGAATTAGAAAACAGCCTGAAATTGCTTGGCGAAGATGATGATCCTGAATTTAAACGCTTGCTCATAAAGAAGGAACGACGTGAAATGGCGTCTTGTGAGGTGATCAAGAGATGTATCAAGAACATCAATCCATTTAAAAACATGAACGTATCATATAACGATAAGACATTGGTAAATTTAATGCAAAGACTGAAAGCAAAATTGAATCAAGCTGCTTATAATTTGAAAAAACTAAATGGTGGGCAATATGATGACTATTTGAAACTACAAACAGCAGCAAATATTGTTGAGTTAAAAATCAATCTTTATGGAGAAAACGATGTGTTAATCAATTCGTATTGTCCCGCTGGTGGTTTGGTAGAAAGGTTTGAGGAAGAGAAAGAAATAATTATTTTTCATCAAGTAAAACCGAAAATCAAGAATCCAAGTGAAAACGTGAATGAATATCGATTTGGAATGGAAGAGGTCGATTCTCAAAGCCAACGAAATAAAGCTCTGAGACATATTTTAAAGTTCGGCAAAATTGAACAAAATAAAATTGATAAGTTAATTAATTCAAATCCTTCGAATGAATTGCTTCTCCACATACTTAAAAAAAATTCAGATCGAGATGTCGTTCATAAGATTTATGAGTCGTGCTTTATTTTGAAAAAGTTAACATCCGCAGGTTATGATATGAATCCAGGAACAATTAGCGGTGGAGATCTTTCAGCGTTTTATTATTGCTTCCAATACGAGGACTGGGATCTTTTTCTTCGTCTATCTAACTATCCTACGAAAAATCTTGACAACGTTCAAGATAATTTGCATTTTTCCGATGAAAAACATCTAAGAGCACTAATATCATTTGATAAAGCGTTGAGAAATGATGGTATTATCTTGAGGAGATCTTCTATTGATGTTAATCATATAATTTGGACTTCGTATGACCAGGCATCCTATTTCCTTAGATTTCACATCCAAGTTTTGGCCGAAAAAATAGAAATCAGGAAGTCTCCTAACAAGTCAAATAAAAAACTAATGAAATTTTTAATAAAAAAGTACGGTGAATTTTTCCATTTCAATAACGAAAACTCTTTTAAAAGTTATTTCAAACACTACAAATATCACAAGACTTTAGACGAGGCTTTTATGGTTTTTTTCGTTGATTGCTTTTTGCAATTAAGAGACGTTGCTGATGATAACAACCAGCAAATATATGTCGACGCTTTAATAAGCCTAGTGAAATGTTTTTGCAGTAAATCTTGTTTCGATGAACTCTCATCTAACAATGGCCACATTGACGAAGAAGCAAAATTTTACATATTTTTCTATTATAGAAGAGAGTGGAAAAAATCCCTAGACGAATTACTCAAACTGTTAGAAAGCAACGTTGTTTTGGGAAATAAAAAAACGACGAAATATATTTTAGAAAAATGCACGGAAACGTGTCCACTTATCAAGGAAGAGTTTGCACTTACCAAACTAAAAAAAGGTTTTAAAATTGCGGATGAAACTTTTTTCGACAGTGAACCATTAAAATCTACTTTCATTGTTCAAAGAGCTTTAGAAATGTTTGGCGAAGTAATCTGTACAATAGGTGATGGGTGCATGACTACCCCATTGATCCGCTATTTTCTACCTCCTGATTTAGAGCGTGTGTTTTGCGACTTGCGAAATAATTGCCTTGCTCACTATAAAACAGCATACATTGAAGGAAAAGAAGCTATTGAAAAAGATTTTGCTTTGAAGGATATTCAACCAGAGTTAAAACAACTTATTGAAAACTTAGATCCGATTTTTGCAATGCAAATGTTTCGTTTAAAACTAGATCTTATTGAAAACTGTTTGAAAGGAAGTGGAAATAACACGGATGGATTCAGCAACGAAATTCGTAACTTCTTGTTAAATATGAAGACTAACATTTTAAAGTCGAGAGAAGACGCATACCTACAGCATAAAGATATCTACGTTTCCTTGCTCCGTAAGATACTTGACTCTATATACCAAGGATTAACGAATAAAATTATCAAAACAGTAAAGGAATTGCGAAGGCGTTGCGACTACTTAAAATTTTTACTTACATTCGTCACAGAGAATTCAAGTATTTTGAAACATTTATCGAATGTTGTTGAGGAAATAGATACCATTTTTACAGCGAATAGTTCCGATGATGTTTCAGATGAGTTAGCGAAAGATTTACTGAAAGTTCTTACTATCACTAAGACAGGACTTGATGTTGAAACTAACAATGAACTAGATAGTTTAATTCATAATGATTTTCCCAACTTGAAAGACTTATTTAAAAAAATGAAAGAAAATAAATTATTTAAACCTTATGAAGCAGATAGAGTCAAGTTAAGGTTAACCGAAAGTTTGAAAGGTTGTAGTGAAGCAAGAGAAAGTTTGATCTCACATTTCCACAACATAAAAACATTGCCACAAGCTGAAATCTATTCTTGCATAAAAAAACTTTTCGTGCCAGAAAGTAAAAAGAAGAAACTTAGAAACAGCATAAAAGATCCATCAAAAGCTTTATCAATATTGCATGAAATAAAGGACACCGGTGAAACTATATTGGGGAAAACAGAAGAGGTTAGTCATAATTTCATGAAAATTAGCAGTCAGGATATGTTCAAGCCTTTAATTAAAAATTTAGAACTGCGTTCTGATCTCCACCAGAAAATACATGATGCTCACATTAAAAAACTTGATTTTGTGATTGAAAGAATTGAGTACATGAAAGTTATTCTTAGTAGTGGAAGCAAAGAAATACCGAAATGGTTGAATCATGTTAAGAGTGAAGCAGGTAAATCTCACACGAAATGGTTAATGGCTCAGCGATACACTGAGGAACCTGATACGAGAGCAGCGTTCGAAACACTCCTACTGGATTGCCTTGATGTATTTAAAAGCAACGAGAATTGTAAAAAATTATGGCTAAAATCTTCAAGCCTTTTCCATGGGTTAAACTTGAGAAATATACTGTCTCATTTTAACCCAATAGTAGAAATTTCATCTGACCTCCTAGATCCAGACAATTTACCATGGGAATTTATGGACGTTGCTCACGATTTATTGGAAATCCTGGACGTCTTAGTGGCATTGAGAAATCTCTACAGGGAAATGAAAAAACCACAAAAGAAGAATCTCCTGGCACAGATAGGCAATAACGAGGACCGCAAATTCGCTGACTTAGTAAAAACCATTAGGTCATGTGAAAAATGGGAAGATTACTTGTTTTTGCTACCGGATGACGGATAAAAAGTAATTTAATTTTATGGATGGTTATTAATGTAAAGGACATGGAGTAATATAATGATAAGCCACATTTTCATACTGTTGAATGCTTTTGGTGATAAATGCTGCCATGTGGACAATTATTTAGCCTAATATTTGTCCAGAAACAATACAGTTTGATTCAAAAAATTTCCCCAATTGATAAAATGCAGCTTATTACTATATTACCGCAAGCCTATCATATCACTATGATAATATACTGTTTGTATGTAAATTTTATAGCTCAACGCAAACGTAACCAATGCCAGAATTTCGAAATGTTGAAAATTGATGTTAAGTTTCTTCAAAAAAATCTCATTACAGACATTGTTGTTCTCATGACTTAACATAGCTTCGGTAAATCGATTTCTATACTTTCCTTTTAATGTTTTCTCCTGAAGTCCGTCCATATCGCTAACATTATTAGCCATTTTTTAACCTATTAAATATATTTTTTATTATCGATACATTGACATTGCATTTTAACATGCCAAAGGTATTTTTCTACTTAGAAATACGTAGCTTAAACGAAGGTGAATTAACAAACGTGGAAATTTTAAAAAAAATTATGTTACAATTAATCATAATTATTGCATAAAAAACTATAAATTTTAATTATAACTCTTTTTTCAGAGTGTAGAATATTTTTTAGAGTTTTTATGATATTTATATGGCATAAAACTAACAAAAAACTGTAATATACTGTCATCAGATTAACTTTTATAACTAATTTATGTGGCCACTAACGATGGCGAACATAAAATCATTTCTAAGCATCTTTTGAAACTGTCCCAACGTCTATTACTTAAGAGAAATTTCTTACTTTTTTACAGTTTTTTATTACAGTGAAATATTCCGATCAACAACGCTAAAAACAATCACTTTGTGAAATCAGATAAAGGAAAAAACAAATCATAAAACTGTATTTTTAAAATTAGCGTGGTCCAACCTGCTGACTTTATGTAGCCTCCGTATTCATTTTTATTGGTCCTTGCCCTATTTTTACTGGAGAAAAAGAAAAAAAAATCCGAAACACGAATTCGATTTGGAAGTGCTTCACTAAAATCAGGACAGCTACTTTGCTTTACTTAACCTACACCAGATATTGATAAACTTTTCTCAATATAGCAGTATTAATACTCACATTGTATATTAAAGCAGTATTAATACACACATAATAAACTAGTATATTAAAATTTTTTAAATATAAATTTTAATAAAAAGTTTTTTGGCAAATTATGTCATTCGTTGTCTTTTTAAAATCTCCCTGGCCCTCGCATTCATATGTGACTGTATAAGTATATTGAATCCTAAGTTTTACCTCAAAGACTTGATAAAAGGCAGAAATAGAATAATATTAAAGCATACTTCCAACTTTTTTCAAGCCACTTTGGTAAAAGCAAGTTTTACCGGTAACGCTTAAGATTTAGAAGACTTCGTGTTTTAACCGTAACAACTGTAAAGTCCCGTTGTCTGGTAAATCCTAAGTTTTGTCGGTAAAACATAGAATTTAGCAAAATTCTGGCAACTCCTAAGTTTTACCACAAAAATCTTATTAAAAGACCGAAATGGAATCATATTGAAGTATACTTTGGATTTTTGCCAAGCCACATTAGTAAAAGCTAGGTTTTACTGGTAAAACTAAGATTTGCCAGACTTCCAGTTCTTGCTTTAACCACTATACTAAAGTTTGATTGGCAGTTGTAATAACCTTAAGGTTGGGCCACACTATTTTAAGCTATAAAATAATACCGAATAACTTGTTCATGTCTTTAAATAGCACAATTATTTCCAGGTAATATACTTATATTTTAAATATAAAAAACATTTGTTCTCTTAAATATTTATTTATTTATTATGTATTTATTTAATTTATTACATATTTATTTATTTTACTTTTTGTAGTCTTTAATTTAAATTGTTTTGTAGATTAAAAGTTCGGATAGTTCTTTGACTAACAAAACTATTCTATTCTATTCTATTGCTACTTAAAACAATTTTTTTTCTTCCATTATCATACAAATCATATTATATTCAAATTAATGAAGCACAACTTATACGCACATATCAATTTGTGTTTTCCGCTTTTATATTTTTTAATTTTAGATATTTCTTTCTTAACTCATACATGACAATCACCATTTGCTTTTTAAAAATATTACTTTTTTTGAGTAATTGAGTTTATAAATGTAATTGTATACAGTATAATCTGAACATTTATTTTTCTATTCAACATATGTAAGATATAAATCATGTTCGTTTTAATGATGTTCAATTTTTTTAATGTGATTAACGCATGTCTTAAATTCTTTTTCTTTATTGTATGCTTGTAATTTCAACATTAATGTAATTTGTATGCTTTAATTTTCTTGTAATTTGTATGCTTTTGTGAAAAATTATATATTATTACTATCAATCATATTCGTATTTTGTATACTTATAATCTTATAATATTTTTTCATTATTGTAATTTTTAACTGATATAGATTAATTTTGATTTGGATTAGTTCTTTGACAAATCAATTTCCTTTATAATGCATGTACGATATAAACTATGCTCATTTTAATGATGTTTAATTTCTTAATACGGTTAACGCATGTTTTAAATTCTTTTTCTTCATTTTACGCTTGCAATTTTAACATTAATGTAAATAAATGTAATTTGTATGCTTTTGCGAAAAATTACATATTTCTTACTATCTATGGTATTGATATTTTGTATACTTTTAATATTTAAGATAGTAATTTTTAACTGATTTAAATCAACTTTGGTTTTGGTTAGTTTCTTGACAAACCAATGCTTAATGTATTATTTTGGGTATGTTGTTAATTTCTTTGTCAATATTTTAAAGATTTTTAACTAAGCGACTTTTATCAGCTGTATTTTTTTATAGTTCTTTGACTTTAATTCTCCTGTAACTACGCATAATATTTTTCTATTCTCCTACAAATTAAATTTTAAATGGCTATAATTATACTGGTTATGATTCTGTCTGAATTGCTGCTGGGAGAACTTAAAAATATTTTCCCTCATTTTTATGCTTGTAAATTTTAAGTATCAACAATTTTTGTGTTAAAAATTAAGTACTTAATAAAAGTATTATAAAATAATGTTCGTTTATATCTTTATTTATTCATACCTAAGACATTTTATAAGTACATAAATTATAATTTTTTGTAAATTCCAACATTGAAACACAGTTCTTTATTCGCTGCCTCAAACTGGTTTTCAAGCATACTGCAGGTGATTCAAAGGTTTTGTATTGCACATGAATCATGATCTTAATTAATATCTATAATATTGCCCCAATCCAGTTTTCAAGCATACTGCAGGTGATTTAAAGGTTTTGTATTGCACGTGATTCGTGGTATTAATTAATATATTTCTTGAAAAAAAGCATTTTAAAAATGCCTGTGCAGTGGCAAAATTCATATTCATCCAATCAAATAAGATAAATGTTCCTAATACGAGACACTCTTTTTAAAATTAAGATCAGAGCATAATTATTATAATTAATGTATGATGTGTAAAAAAAAAAAAAAAAAAAAAACGTTACACCCCGAATAGCTTTCGATCTAACGATTTTGCTTAATGCGGGGGTGACCTCAAATATACCAGTCAGTTAGTGTAGACAATATTTTTTTTTTAGTTACGATGTCAGACACAGAAACGTACGATGGCGTAAAACCCATTGATTAGAAGGTCTGTTAGAGTTTAAATATCTGACCCAGAAACTGTCAGATTTAATAAAGATATTCGTTCTTTAATTGTGTACTGTATATCATTCTAGAAAAAAGTCATAGAGGCACTACTTTTTCTTCCATAAATGATTTTCTTCTAGAAAAAGTCAAATCACATTATTTTTCCTCACTTATGGAGAAAGCACGCGTATATCTAGCTTTATAGGAAAGGCTAGAATTTCAGTGAAAAAGTAGCAGTACTTTTTACGGCAGTTTAGGAATATTATGTACAAATTTACATGTGAAATAATTATCTTCTTCCTATGCTCCACTGCAGCTTTTGTGGACTAGCAAAAATACTTTGCATAATGGATCCACCTTTTTTTTTCTTTTTGATTTAAAAAATACATCATTACGATATTAGCAATCAACATCTCATGTGTTTTTGCCCTTTTCATCGGAAGAAATATCAATGATTTAGGTTCTTTTTGATGCAACAGTTTTGTTATATTTGTTCATCATACATTTATCGTTATTGTCATTTTGTTTACAGTTTTTTTTTCTCATTGCAAAACAATTTTATCTTACTTCATAGCAAATTTTTTCATGTTCTTTTTTTTAAGCAATCTAAATCGACTTCTTGAGGATGGAACCTGTTCATACCCCGACCTGGCGTAAGAAGTTATCGATGCGAAACTAATCCATGCTACCATTGGACTAAATCCTTATTGCTCCTTAGAGTGTGAATAATAAGCTAGGCTAAAATGATTTTTTATAACTGTAATGACCAATAAATAAGAATACTCTAAAAACAAAAGGATATTAGAGAGATTAAAAGCAGTACTTATCTATACAGAATACATTAATTTAACAATAACAACACAACATTATAACAGTGCCTTCTTCTTACCTAAGGGGAAAGTAATTAGATTCTGTCCACCAGAAATGAATTTCGCCAATCGAGATATCCGGTCTTTTTCCATTCTACCCAACCTTTTTTTCGGCGGATTTGGATTTCTGAAGATATAGGGATAGCAGTAATCTGGAAAATATGCTTTCGTAGTTTAAAAATCCTGTTTCTGGGATACTTTTTTTTGTGGATGTTTCTGGCTCACTAAAATGATCAGCCATAGCCACGAATATTTTGGAATTCCTGTGATACCCTAGCTAGTAAGCCCTTCACTCAACCTCCACTGAGATTTTACTCAACTAACGTAAAATGGTGTCTGTTGCTGATTCTTCTTCTTCATTTAACTTCACCAAATAAAAAAAAAGAATTGTTATGAACTAAAATAGTTTGACTTCTCACCCAATTTTCTAAAGTTAATTTCAGTTAATATATTGTATTTTAATTTGCCGTAGCTATGTGAAATTGTGTTAAATCGTCTTATAAACTTATGGAGTTTTTTTGTGGTAACCCAGTTTGCCTATTTTGTTTTGTCTTTTGTACTCAATCTACGATTTCCGACCATGTTTTTTAAAATATTTTATACTTTTTTCGAAAAACAATATTCTATCAGTTTTTTAAATTAATTTCAACCATGTCCCAACCTTTTTTCCCTCAGCATTTTCTGCTTCTACCAAAATAACTTGTATTATTACAACATTAATGTCAGTATTTCAACTAATATATTTTGTTCACCTCTAATAAAGATATTTAATTCGAACATAACTGCTCCTACAAATAAACTTATGGCATGATACACGTACTTAATCAATCCAACTCGTAATAATTATTAATACACCTTAACGCACTAATGACATTATGCATCACCCACCATATATTACTTAACTGTATATACATATTAATCAGCTACCAAATTTTAAACCTCTAAGAAATGTTAAAGTTTTTATTTTTGCAACAATACAGATCTAAAAGAATTTAATAGCAGGGAAATATATCCATAGATGTTATCATAGTAGTATCAAAAGTACACCGTATGGATAAAGCTAAACGGAAAACAGTATGAATAGCGTCACATAATAAGACATTATAATTCCGATTCTGCAATGAAAAACCCTTTTTGAGGTCGAAACACAGAATCCTGTATTCCAAAACTAAAGAATATTCTTCATTATGCATTAATTCTGAAGAAGGTTCTTAATTTTGCATGAACGTCAAATGCATATTAAAATTAAATGCTGTATAGCACTGTAATTTAATAAAACCTCAAATTTTAAAGTTCACCAAAGAAAATAGATTTTTTAAAAAACTGTGTTAGTTTTAGCATCCTACTACTATAATTGAGATCCAACTGTATTTATAATTTGAAAATTTGTCTGTTCGTATAATAATTTATAGTGTTATAATACAAATAGTTTTATTAACTCATTTAAATGTCCATTAAAATAAATGATATATCCATCGAAATAATTAAAATTCTTTATTGCATTTTTACGCACATATAAAGTGTGGGGAAAAAAACAGTGTAGTGTTTTGAAAAATTTTAAGAAAAAAAATAGCTACATTATAATTTGCGAGGATTAAATGATTATCATAGACAGCGGTGAATAATTTTTTAAATTGTCATAGATTATGAACAAATATTTTTAAGGAATTTTATAATAACTATTAAAAAAAACAAATTTTCCTCATAATTATTTTAAATTGTAGTCATGTCTTGCTACTGTAGCAATCAATTGTTTTGATTTCTTATGAAAAACAATAGTCGGATTATTCAAGTTTATCTAATCAGTTTTTTATCTATCAGTCTCAGAGTTTCAGTTTATTATTATAAAGTAGTTATCAAAGCTCGAAAGAGATATTTGCATTTACATAAATGTCATCGCTTGCTGTGCATTTCTTATTATGCTTCAAACTTTTATTAGCAAACAACAAACAAGTCAGATCATAATTGATGTGATTGGCGGATATTTAAAGGTAAATGAGGATTTTATTTATGTATTTTTCTGCTACGTTGAATAGTTGTCAAGTAAAACTTAAAAAATGGCGATTTTACCACCAAAACATCATGTTTTATCTTCGTGGATGTCTGAAAAAATAGAGGGGAAAGGATTTGAAATTTGGAACATTAATACACCTCCTAAAAGAAGTTTAGTTTGTTCTATTTTAATGTCATCGTTGTATTCTAGAAGCAGTTTATCAATAGAAAAGAAGTTTTTACGTTTTATTGAGACATTGCGGCTGGAAAGCAAAGTTGCATTTCCAAGAAATAAAATAAATGTGCTAAGGCGACTTATAAGCAAATTTAATCCCTTCAAAAATCGTTATGCACTTTATTGTGATAAAAACTTTTTGATTTTATTAAAACATTTTGAAACTATTCTAAATAATTTGATCGCAGAAGAAATGCATGGTGCTTCATCGTTTGATGAACAAGTGCTACAAGCTGCTGCTGATTGCCTCAATTGCTTCATTGATGTATATGAAACAGATGCTGAAGAACAGCGTAATTTTTTTTTCTACCGTCCTATCGACGCACTCGGTGATGGGAAGTCAACTTTGAAAAGATTGATTATATTTAAGAAAACGAGCGATTCAGAGACTTCGCCCTTTGTGTCGTATGGATTTGGTTTGTCATTGAAATATGCATTAGTAATGAGGATCGATGCTTTTTCTTACATTGCTAATGCGGCAAATTTTCCACCAGATGTGCTTAATAGGTTTAAAGCTACTATCTCCAACGACAGCAACTTTCTTATTGGCGCTCTCAGCACATGTCGGGACATTATACCGTACCTCTACAAGTTACCATACGTAGCCATAAAATTACCTGATGGTGGAATATATATTGATCCCAAGGCAACTGATAAGCATGGATTATCGGCATTTTACTACTGCATAAGTACGTTTGATATTCCCTTGTTACGTGTATTATACAATCATGCATCGAACAACTTTGACGTGACAGAAAACAACGTTCGAAATCCAAATAGAAGCATTCTCATTGCGCTGCAAGAAATAGGTGAGACATTAAAAAAGGATTTGGAAGTGCTAAAAGAGCTTTCTTTACTTGGCGATGAGAGACAAATAACTGAAAAAATTTTTCACCAATTCATATGTTTTAATTCTTATCAGTGCACGGTTGTGGAAAGGATCTTATTAATAAGAGAACAAAATGCAGATAGAGATATTCAACAACAACAAATAATTATTTCGATAATCGAAGAATACTGCAAATGTTTTTTTCTTGAAGAGGGAACAGAACAAGACCATTTTGAAAATTACATGACATTTAGTGAATATTATGACATCTTGGACATGTTTACTAGCTTTTTACTATTTGACAATTTAGTGCTGCTTAAACATATAGTGAACGAAAAAAATGTCAAAAGATATACAGATGTAATTAGATCCTTGTTTCTGTTTATTCTTTCTCATAAACTATTTCTCAGAAAAGAAACACGGCGCATTCACAGTATCCGTACGTTTGTTGATAAAGATGATCATTTGCGATTTATACCATTTTGTTACAGAAATTGCTTCAAAAAAGATTTAATGACTCTATATGAAGAGCTGAAATTCTCTCTTAAAGCTCCGTTCTGTCCAACCGATAGCTCTGAACCAGAATTGAAAGAAATCGACATTGTGAGAGAAAGTATTGCTGGATTAACAGAAATCGAAAATGAATATTTTGCCAGGAAACTCAAAAACTACATGAACATTACTAAAATACTCCCTCAAGTGAACATATTTTCCCTTGAACGGATCCTACAAGTTATGGGAGAATTATTAAGCTGTTCTGATATCAATAATACAATTTTCAAGTTTTTCTTGTGTTCATGTTTGCCAGAAGGATTGGAAAAAATTCTGAGTGATTTGCGCCATCATTGTTTCAGTCACTATCGCTATAATACCATACGAGGAAGGCTTAATATAGAATACAACAGAAATGATGCGTTAAAATGTCTTCATAATGAAATCAGAGATTTATCATTAATATTAGAACCAATTACTGGGAATCATTTCTTTGGAGTTAGAGAGTTCATGATCGAGAAAGGAAAAAAAGAATCAAAACAAAAATTTCAAAATGTTTTTAAGCTTATTCAACAAGAGCAGAAAACAATGATAGAGCATAGAAGAATGAACTTCAAACAAACCCAAAAAGACTACGCAGTAGTTTCTAAAAACTTATTTCATAGTATATATAATGCTCTCAAACAAAATAATACTGAGAATATGGAATTAGAAGTTAAGCTAAATGCATTAATATTTCTGTCAAACTATATTTGCACATCATTGAAGGAAGGAGATGAACATGCAATAGAACTGAAAAACTGTTGTGAGCAATTGAAATTTACAATGGACTCCTCCATAGATTCTAAATTACCTTTAATGGAGGTAAAAAATGCAATCAAACATTTAGAGTTGGTATATAGGGATATCTTCCTTCATTTTGATGAATTGACCAGATTTGAAGGACGAGTGTTTTCAAGGGCAATTTATTTTATAAAAGTATACAGACTGCTTTTGAAAGCGTTTTCAAACCATGCTTTTAAGGCTGAAATATCAGAACAACAGATGGAAACGGAGTTAGAACGAGAAATGTCAGATATTGTTCCTTCCATTTTTAAAATGGATGAAATGGAAATAGAAAAACTTGTCAAATTTTCTGAAAGTTTAATTTTTATGGCTGAGGACAATACGAGCAAACGCAACAAAAAATTATCTTTAATTCGGATGTTTAAAAAAGTATTAGAAAAGAATTTTAAAAGGAAAACCAATATAAGTGAAAGCGATTTAAAATTCCCTCTCTTAAATGGCATTGTTGCAGAAATAAAAGATTTCGATATATTCTCCTTCAAAGAAAAAACTCAAATTGAAAAAATGATGACAGTTTATTTAAACAATTCCAAATTACGAATTGAAAAGTTGGCAATGGAGTTAGAAATAAGGAAACCGTCAATGGAATTAAAAAGAAAGGAGCATGTAATGGAATCATATTGTGAGGAACAAACAATGGAATTGGAAAGTATGAAACCGGCAGAGGAATCTAATTTTGAAAAACAGACTACAAAATTGGAAAACAAGGAACTGACAATGATATCAGAAAGTCAAATACAATCAACAGAATTGGAAAGCAAGGAATGGGCAATGATATCGGATAGTGCAAAACAGACAACGGAATTGAAGAGCAAAAAACTGACATTAGATCTCGAAAATGAGCAGAACTTAAATTTTACGCCAGAAGGGGTCACTCAGTTCTTGCAATCTACAACGATGTCTCAAAAGATGATTAAGCAATGTATTTCTAAACTATTTCCCAAACCAAATATAGAATCTGCAATTGCACTTTTAAACTCAGAAAATAAACACAAGGTATCGATTGACTTAACAAATAATGCTACTTTTGCTTTAAAGACGATGTTAATAAATACATCGAAGGACAGAGAGAAATATCGGAGAATGTTTCTGAATATCCAATGGAACAAGAATTTACAATCAAAAATTTATTCTTTTATGAATCAAAAATTGTATTTTTTGATCAACAGAATTGAGGAATTGCAAAAAATTTTAATCGATGATGATGAAAAAGTGAAATATCTATGGATGAATGGAAAAAGTGCAGCGATTAAACAGCACACTAAAGTTTTGATGTGTCAACGATTTATCAAAGAAAGAGAAACTCGCTCTGCTTTGGAGATGCTGCTTTTCGATTGCTGGAATGCAGTAGAAGATTCAGATCTAAGAGAAATGTGGGAGAAAGCTACAAATCTGTTTGCCGGCATAGATCTCAGAGATTTTATTTCCCACGGCAGTCCCGTTGTAGAACTCGTGAGTTCCTATTTGGATCCCAAAGACTTGCCATTAGAGCTCATCAACAAAATCTTGATGCTCATTGAGGATAAGACAGCGATGATAGCGCTCTCAGATTTGTGGATATCTACAAAGGCTACCAGATCTAGAGAACTCGCAGCAATAATTGATAGAGATGATGACGATGAATACATTGCTTTGAGGAAAGATATAAGAAATTGCACAAGATGGATAAAATATTTCAATCTCTTGCCTTTAGAATATGGTGTGAGGAATTTAAAATAGGTGAGCTGACGTTGGTTTCATTTTTCTAATATTATGTGGTTTCTATGTGAAGTAATAAATTCAGAAACATTAAATATTAAGTACTATCAATTATTCTTTGAAATAGGGCGATAAAAATAGATAAGTTGGTTTAATTATCTTTTATTCTTGTTTGATTTATCTTATAAGCATAAATTTATTGAAAATAAATATTATATGTTTAAGCTAGAATTTCAAATTTATTGCACTGTAATACGGTGTCGATAACTGTTTATTTAAATGAATATTTCTATCTGTTGCCTTTAAATAAGAGTGTTTAATACAAGCATACAGGCACTTCTCATATCGACTTTTAATTACTTCGGGCGTCTTCTATGTCTTTTTACAAAGGTTTAAGCCAGTGTGCCTTTGCAATAAGAAATAAAACAAAAATTTTAAAATGTCTGCAAAAAAATATTAAAAATTATAATTTCTATGTGGTTTTTATGATATCCGTTACTTTTAAAGCCTACAATTTAAAGTTTTATTTGAAAAACGTTTTATTTCAAAAGTTAAAAGTAAATGTTGCGAAGTCGAACTTTGAATTTTATACTAATATTGAACTACGACTCACAAGTAGAAGATACAGGTTGTTTTAGACAAGAGCACATTTATTTACATGACGAGGACATTTTACATAGGAAGAAACATAGAAANTTGCTTATTATAGCTTTATTATAAGTAAATATTTTTATAATATGATTAATAGTTGAGAGCTACTATTTTCAGTTAAATATTCTTTAAAAAATTAAAACAAGTAAGCTGTACGCTTGTAACCTCGCTATTTTATTTTCATCTAGAGTTGCGAATTTTAGAGTTAAGAGTTAAAAACAATAGTAAATGACTGAAACTGATTTAATTTGTTGCTTTGTATGTACTATTGTGCGATTCGGGTAAACTAACCAGTGAAGGACCACTTAAGCGTAGCTTGCCTTTTAAAAAATTATGAAAACTTCAAAATTAGTAAATTTAGTTAAATGACGGTGTCAACATAATTGTTATTATATGCAAATTATGTAAAAAAATTTTAGATAACTTTCATAATATTGTTTTAAGCTTTTGGTGGTTCAAATAATAAGTAGTAAGATAACCAAGTGAAGGAACAGTTCTTTCCAGTGAATGAACACTTAATTTTGAGAATGTTTGATGCTCGTTAGAAATCCATAGGCCATGCAAATGTCTAAAAACAAGATTTTTCTTGGAATTACCACATATAACCATAGTTAACGTGGAAAACTTTACTTTTTTTCAGTCATGGAATGGAAAGTAAAATATGGTTGAATACAGAATTTAAAAAAATTTTCTTTATTTTTTTTCCTCACAGTTTAATAGTCCGTTCTAAATTATGAATGTTTATCATTGTGTAATCCGATGATGTTTTTATTATTAATATTATTATATCACTTTTTTACTTACTCTTTTTCCCCAATATTTTTTTAACTTCTTTTTTTTCAAATTTCTTTAAGTATTTTTTTTCTCTTCGTCATACTTTCGCTTTAACTTTATTTTTTCAGCTCCTTTAGTCTCTTTAAATTTTCGTTCTTCTTCTGAAGTTAATGCAAAAAGTAATTTATTTCTTTTGATTTGACCTTCCTCTTCTTTCCAAAGTTTTGGCCATTGTATCTCCAAAAATACTTTTTATCTTCCAGTACCATTTCTAGAATTCCTCACTGCATAATAAATGAGAAAAAAGAGCTTCGAAGTTTGCGTAAAATCCATCTCTCATTGACTTATATCTAGAGGGTCTTCAGCAGTACTTACCATTTACTTATGGAACCAATTGTTTTTGCAACTAACAATGCCTCAAGAAGACTTATTTCAAAATCAGTTTTCAAGATACTTTCACTTTCAATGTTAGTTGTATCAGCTTCAGTGCCAAAATTTGACTTAACCAAATGTTCTTTTTGCAATAAATTCTTCCATATTGAGAAAAGCACAGGCTATTGGATATTTGGGAGATTAAACTCTTCTGTCAATGCTCCTTTAAAAATTTGCAACGTAACTTGTGAGATTTCTTTCTTAAGCTTCTGAAGAAATAGTGCATCGTTACTCTCGAAGTATGTGTTTTGTTGATGAGCTGTCTTGCTCATTAACTCTTTGTGCCTGTCTTGCATGCATTTGTTAAAGTCAACGTTTTTAACATCGAATGGAAAAATACCTCATTTCATAAAAACATTTTAACTGCAGGAACTGGTTCTGTAATACCTCAAAGATTTCTTCAGTAAGGAAAAATTACCGATGGAGATACTTTTTTTCCATTAGCTGAAATTTTGGTCAAAACTGTTGTTTTTTCTTTTTTTTTTTCCCTAGCTACTATAGAATATAAACCCTTATAATTTTTAGGGCCAAAGATTTTTCCCGTTTAAGGGCAGTATTCAACTCCCGTTTCGTAATTTTCGAATATTATTCTCTCTAAAAGAAGTTTTGCCTTTTGAAATTATCTTCGTATTGCACTGAGTTATCGGTGGATGTCGTCTTAAAAAAAACTTCACCCATTTTTTACCTTAATGATTGTCTTTAAATGGATTTTTCCTACCAGTTTCAGTCATGACGTTAAAAACCGCAATAAGATAATAATTTAGATAAAATATAAGCACAAAAGCCAGCAAAGAAATGGTCTATTCAAGCTTTTATTATTATATTTAGTTAGTTTTCGATCAGTAAACATAATTTATTAAGGTTTTTAACGTTTGATGTAACTAACCACTACAATTATAAAGAAAAATAATAAATTATAATTATAATTGCTTAAACAAATTTAGCAATTAAATTAGCATTTTAAAATGAAATTGTTTTAGGAACTATTTATATAACATTTAACAGAATTTTAGGTGTACTTTAATACCGCAGAACTACTAATTATCCATGTAAAATCATATCATAAAATCATTCACTGGAAAATCTATTCCCAGTGAAGGAACAACATGCCTGTGCCTTCACTGGTTCGAAGTATTTTTTTTTTGTATTTTTAACATAATTTTGATGTATAATATGACTAAAGGTACAAGAAAATTAGAATTTTTCTTTTATTTTCATTAACTTGGAAAAATCCCAGTAAAGGAACACTTGTTCATTCATTGGTCTTTCATCGTTTGGTAATCCAGTGAATAAACACGCCCCTAATCTCAGTACTTGCTTTTGTTATCATGCTTAAAATAAATAAGACGTAACTTCAATCACCATATTTTGAATTCTCTTTTTCACAATGAGAAAAAAAGCATTGTTATATGCAATTAATTGTACTTTAAACGGATAACTACAAACTCTGACCTTATAATTTTGTCAAAGAAACAAGATGTTGAACAGATACTAGCGAATTCAAAAAAATTTCCAAAAAGAATCTATGACCAAGTAACCCAATACATTGTTAGATGACTTCCTATTGTTAGGTAGTAAGCTACTGTTACCAATCAATCTAAGTAAAAACGTTTAAAATCTTATTTTTAAAAAATATCTATGAAATGTTCCTTCACAGGGGTGTGTTCACTATCACTATTTCTCGACAACATTAAGTTCAATGATAAAATTTAAGATGTTTTAATTTAAAGGTGCATTACATTTTAAGTAATAATAAGTTAATAGAAGCCAAATATTTAAAATTGTTGCACCCCGATCCCATAAGTTATCAATAAATAGTCTTTTTCAATATATATGTTAAGTTTGTTGCTTTTTAACACAAATAAGACTGTAACTTAGTATATACCTATATTTCCCAAAAGCAGTCAAAATGACTGCATTGTAAAAGAATAACTAATGTGTAAAGAAATTTGTTTAAGCTTAGTTTTTAATATTATTTACAGTTATATAACAAGTTAACAACAATTAAAAAAAACAATATTAATAATTAAAAAAATTATATGTTGTACAAAAAGTCACAAAATTCTAAGAAATTGGATCATTGTATACATCATTGTTTTTCTAATTGAAATAAAAAAGCAGTCAAAATGACTTCCTTGGGCAATCTAGTGTTAAACAATATGATTCGGTTTGAAAATTTATTTTACATTCTTTTTCTTTAATAACGTAGGATTAAATAAAGTAATTATATGTATAATAATTATAACGTAGATGGTTTCATCTACCTGTGACATTTTAGTCCAAAGAAATGAACAGGAAAAAGTTACTTCTTATATTCATCAATTTGCTTGAATGTAAAAGTATTAAAATGACTTTAATAAACAATAAAGATAAATAGAACAACTTATGAAAACTGAAATACAACACAATTCTTCAAAAAGTAGAAAAGGAAAGCAGAAAAAAAAAGTTCAAGATTACGATCAAGCTTACAAACCTAAGTTCACAATATCTCCTTTAGCAAAGATTATACTTAATTTTCCTGAGGACAATTATCAATGAATGCAGAACTAATGAACGTTTTCTTAAAGTTTAATCATTTCAGCCTGACAGAGATATGCAAGTGCAACAGTAATTGAACACGCAAAACTTTTTTGGCTGGATTGAGAGTAGGATTACAGATTGTGAAAGATAGTTAGTGCATGAACGCTGATTGTGAAATATCACAATCTGAGTCAAGTAGATTTATGATCGGGAAAAAAATTTTATTGCTTCAAAAAAGATATAATTTTTTTCTTCTTCTTTGAAACCAAAATATATTTAGACTTTCCACCAGGTCCTTGAAATTTCTCTAATTTTTATCAAACACATATTTTTGTTAAAATAACTTTCATGTCTCAACATTTTACTTTACTACCTTCTGTTTGTTGTTCTGCGTGCAAAATACTATTATATTACTTTCCCTCGGGATTTACACAATTCGCAGAATTGTTTTATTTTAATATTCTGAAATGGAGTTATACACATATTTTCTAAAAATTAAAGACATTTAAACACCTTTTTCTGCTTTCTTTCACAACACTACACAGTAATATAGGGTGAAAACTAAAGTATAACAGATTAAATTACTCGAGACCTGTCAGCGTCAAAGAGTTATAGATAACCCAGAATTCGTTACACGGACTTAGTTGTATTCAAATTTCATCTTAGCGTCCACCCGCCCTCCCAACCAATTATCTTTCGTTGTATATTTTCCATTATTTTCGAAGCTTGGCATTTGTTTTCTGGATTCCGATGTTGAGCATATAAAGCTATCGCTACTCTTTGCTCCACAGAGTAATTGATGATGATGTTACTAAACTAACTGTTCTTTCAACAGTGCTTGTATATATGATGAATTGNTGCATTTAATGTAGTTAATTGAACTAACAGCGTCTTGTAATACGTTGTGCAACTCTTCATCCATATCTTTTGCAACAAGAGCTTGCCGATGAATCATACAGTGATTAAATACCATATGAGGCGCCACCTTCTGAATTAAGCCTCTGAGCCCTTTCTTCGAACCTGTTAATGCTGCAGCACCATCAGTACAAATCGCAGCACAGTTTGCCCAGGTAAAGGACTTTGTTTCAAAATATGCATTTATAATTTCGAATATTTTTTCTCCAGTTGTTTTTCCTTCCAATCTTTTGCAACATAAAAACGTTTCTGTTATATCTGCATTAAAAATAAACCAAACGTAAATAATTAGTTGTGACATTTTAGTAATATCGGTAGTCTCGTCCTGTTGTAAAGCAAATACAGATGAATTTTGCATGCGTTTTATGACTTCTGACTCGATATTTCGTGACATTTCGGAAATCCGCCGAGACACGGTATCTCTTGATAATGGTATTGTTTTTAGTTTTATCCATATTTATCGCAATGCATAATTGATGTCATCTTAGTTGCTGCAGGAAGAGGGATTCTCTAATTGCATGGGGTTTCATTGTTTTTCCTATTAGATAAGAAACTTCTAAAGAAGCTCGTAATGCTTTCTGAGGTATTGTTGTAAATTTCCTGCACTTTGAATTTTCAGATTTTCAGCTCGTCTTTGAAAAAAATCGGCATGTTTATTTTGAAGGTCTCTATGTTTAGTTTCCAGGTGCCTTTTTAATTTAGCTGGTTTCATGCTCTCATTTACTAATTTTTCGTTGCAAATGACACATATCGGGCGTTCTTCTTCATCAACAACACAAAATGTAAAACCATACTTAAAAAATTCCTCATTGTATTTTCTTATTTTTTTAGATCGGGCATTTAATTCAGTATTTTGCGACTCCTCATCAGTATTTGTTCGTTTGTTAGCTGAAGATGTACCTGTTGTACGTATTACCCATTTATCCATTATGGAGATAGGGGTTAAATTATTCAAACTAAAACAAATATATAAAATTTTATCATTTTTTTCGAGAAATTCAATAAAATGAACAGAGATCTTTCTCTAATGATAGTACATACCTGATAACAAAGAGTAGCAAAGCCCGATTAAAATATAAAAAATCAAAATTACACTGTGTGGTTAAGTATTACTTAAATACTTATTAAATAAATGAGCAAGATCTAGCATCTCGCAAACACATTTAATGACAACCTACCGAGATACGCAAACACAAACTGAAACTAAACATGAATGCAAACTAAAACTAAACAGTGAATACACAGTCACAGTTAATCTGGCTGATGCCACATACACAACGTCACATGATAAAACTCGAGGATAAACTAAAACAATTGCAGGCCAACTGCTACATGCTACAACTTCATGCGAACACTTCACGTCATCACTCTGACTATCAGATACACCGCGTACCTCGCCATCTGATTGGCTGATCACGGAAGCGAATTTTTGCCCTTTCCCTGCGGTTAACGTCTAGTCAAATAGGCGCTTTTCAGTAAAACTGGCGAATTACCGCTAAGAGGGCGCTATCTACCGAAGTTAAAAACTTGCGTCTTCACAATTTACATACATTACGCATTACAGTCAAAGAAAGAGTGGACAGCATGAAATTGCAATTAAACAGTGAGTGACGGCTCTTCACTCCTTATATGTACATGCATGCAGGGATAATGCATTTCATAAAAATTTGGCGACCCCCAAAAAACTTCTGGCGACCCCTAGTTTGCGCACCACTGACCTAGACGATGTGGTCTTTCTGTTTTTCTACATTTCAAAAATTTGATTCTATGGGAATTAAAACTTTTCCGTCTAAATAATAATATATATTAGTTCTGGGTTTTCAAACCACCACTATTCTAAGGCCCGAGTGGGACTTTATGATTAAGTGGTGTGAGTGGTCTCATTAGTTTTCTGATGCTTGAAAGAAAAAGAAAATTGACTATGGGCAAAGTGAGCGACAAGGTAAAAAAGAGAAAGTAAGAGGAAGATAAACATTTCTATCTAGACGAACGAGGTATTGTTTCCGAAATCGAAGTTGGCGGATTTCAAATCAATAGGACAAATAGTTTAGAATTCATATTAAAGATTTGTGTATAAAAAGTTCAAATTTGATATTAAATTGAATGATACCACAACAAAGTCGACCGAAGTAATAATATTAAGTAAAGGTTTTTATGTATAAAGAGTGCAGTTTCATACATGTTGATACGTTTGTCATCACTTAGACAAGGTATGCATTGGACCTTTTGTAACTTTAAATACCTGAAATCACAAATATCAATAAATATAAAGCAAAAAATAATAGCAATATTTCATTTCAAAATGCATTCATTTTTATTATTTCTTTTTCAGCCTTTACCATTTTAGTTATCTGTGCCTTTTGTAATTGGAGAGAAGCTTAGCGAGGATACAAATTAGTTTTATGTTGATTGAGTAATGAATAAGTTCACGAAATAAATCGTAATTCTTTTCTTGTTGTCTTCTTGTTTTTTACGTTAATGTCGAACTTTCAACCGTCGTAATTATCACTGTTTCATAAATAAAATACACATTATTAAAACCAAACTTAAACCAATAAAAAACAGAACACATATTAAAACAGTATGCAAGCAAACACATATAAAAATGAAAGCATTTCGTAAAACCATTTTCAACTTGTTGTCTTTGATGACGTTATTGATGTTGTCTTTCTTCAACGTTGGCAATTCGTGGAACAGTAAAATGTGTATGAAGAATTTTCCTTATTTCCATTTCTTTGCTTGTATGTAAATGCGTTAAATTCATTTCTGGTTCGGATTCAGTAATCTTAGAGACATTTTCTATAATTCGAAAGTTTATCCGTATCACAAATAATTCCATTATTGTTTGTTAATTGTTATATTGATGCCTTAACGTCTTATTAGTATAAGCACATTTTACCCTATTGTCAAGCAGTTGTACCCAGTTGTAGATTTTCTTTTAAAGGTCGTTACTGGGCCTATCTGTCATCAAGCATAAATTCCGTTCTCGCTATCATGAATTATGACAATAACGAGGTTCCTTACATGAAATTTTGTAGAGGGTTTCCCTATTTCGATAATAAACATACGGTTCAGCAGCTGTGAGACTGGCATAGCTGCTTTTCTGCAACATTTTCGAATTTACCTTCAAATCAGTGAGATATTGAATAACTATTTAGTCCAGTAGTATTTAAAGTTTCGTCAGATCATGCAGACTTTAAGATGGACTATAGACGTTGACCCGTCGTGGTATTTTGAACTTCACGGTGTGGTATTCCATCAAGGTATGCTGAAATACACTTCTTTCAAGAAAGCATTAAATAATTCTACTAAGTCTTTTGAGCTTGAGTGTCGAGGAGTTGAGAATCTGGTGAATGAACCGAGTCTCAAAAACTAATTTGACACAGTCAGAAAAGCGTCACTCATTTTACTTCTGGAGAGCTGAACGTTGTGAGTTTGATTCCGACAGTTAACTAAACGACCGGCGTGTATGCAACGTGCACGTTAAATCTGTCATGGCTGAAAGTCCTCTTGCTGATTGTGGTATTGACGGCGTTTGATAGGAGTCAAAATTTCTATCATGGCCGTTAAAAGATAGTCCTGAAAAGGAACTAGGTGCTTGGTTTATTGTATTTCCTTAATTTTGCAGCAATTGGAGATGGCTTCATGTTAATGAACGACAATTGCAGGCCACATAGTGCCAACTTGGTAAATGATTTCCTTTAGGGAGAAGGAAATATATGGATGGATTGGCCAACGTGTTCTCCGGACATGAACCCAATCGAGCATGCTTGGGACATTCTAGGCTGACGAATTGCTGGTCGACTACCACCCCCACAAACTCTCCACTAACTGGAAAGAGCTCTTCTGGAGGAATGGGACAGAATACACCAACCCCTCATTAATAAGCTCATTGGCTCGATGCCTCAAAGGTGTTCAACGTTGCTGGCCTGTCCGTAGAAATCATACCTTATACTAAAAAATGATTTTCTTTTAAGGAAACACCTTTTTTTATTTATTTTTCTCATGTGCAAAAATTGTTTTTTTTTCCTTTTGCATCCAAATATTCAATAAAACGCATTTTTTCTGACAAGCAAATTTCATTTTTATCTTATATAGCTTAAGATGTATCAATCATTCAAAGAATTCCCCAGGTGTAAGATCAACCCACAACCTCAATATACTTTAATTGTTTTGAGTCAGTGTATATACACATGTTTTCATCAATCGTTGCTTCTCTGTAACTTAAAGGATAAATATCTCGAAAGGGACTCATTGAATGAAAGAGTGACGGTAAAAATGCTTTTCAGCAACTTAAAAGGAAAACTATCCAGTGATCCCATTCTTTATGCTCCTAACTTTGATAAGCAATTATTTATTCATATTGATGCTAGCGACTTAAGTAAGGGGGTTGTTTTAACACAATATGACGAAAAGGGAAATGAACATCCCAAATTATACTTACGCAAAAAGTTTTCTTCTACTGAGAAAAATTACAGCTCAACTGAAAAAGAATGAGTTCGCATAATTTTTAGTGTAAAAAATTGTATTAATACACTGATGGAAAATTTTTCACTATTTAAATTGATCATTATCCTTTAACCTGGTTAAATAAGAAAATAAGTGTTAATCCCCGCTTAGTGCATTGGTCCTTATTCCAGGGCTCGAAAAACAGCCCGTCCGCCCGTCCTCGACGATCAAAAATTCTCCGCGGACAACGAATTTCTCGAATCCGACGTCCGCGCGGACGGCCATTTTGCCGTTAATGTTTGTGATACATTTTCAATTTTTGTTATCTTACAAGAGTCTTGCAAGTTACAAGGCAGCAAAATGACCCACAATACAGCAACATACTGCGCATGTTGGAATTGATGTTTTCTCTGTCTGGGAGTACTGCAGCGGTTGAAAGGGGCTTTGCAGCAATAAACTTACAAAAAAACACAATACGTACTTGTCTTAAACAAGAAGCTTTAAAAGCAATTATGAACATCTACCTAAATGGAAATCCCCTTTCAGATTTCTGTTCAGAAACCTCTGTAAATCATTGGCTTGATTGTGGAACTGGCAAACGTCATATTTGATTCATTTAAAAAACGCAGTACCCTCGGATAA